GCTATTGCAAATTGAAATAGCCAATAGTAAAGTACCAATGCTTTTCAATGGGATTTTTTTTTTTTTAAATCTATTCTGACATCGCTTGTGTCAGAATAAAGAAAAAAAAAGACAGCAGTGTTTCTCTCCCGGGGCGCCAGGGAGAGTTAGCTGTTTGGAGATCAGTGTCCCTGGTTAACAGGTAACCAGGGACGCTGATCTCTCTACAAGTGGCCCAGCTGTCAGAAGCAGGCTGTCGGCCAGCCAATGGCTGGCCGCTCGACCAGCTTCGGCTTTCAGCAGGGCTCAGCCAAGCCGATGCATATGCGTTCGGCTCGACTGAGCCGCTCGGCCATGTTTGGGAGCTGTACGGGCAATTGTGAATAGACCGTACAGCACCCCTTGGGTTCTACTGAACCCAAGGGGTCCTGGGGCCGAAGCTAGCCGAAGGATCGGCCAAAGCTACGGCCAGATCCTTCGGCAGCATCGTGAATAGACCCATATCTGTTTTTCTTGGACCCTTCGACAACTGGGACAATCAAAAGACTAGCATACAGAGAATGTTATACTTTTATTTGAGAAGAGTAAAAACCTAGGGTAAACATACACTGTAAGCCTGACTTCTCTCGTATGTTCATTTTTTGAAAGTATTCTAAGGAAAGACATGAAAAAATATATTGTAGTGAACAAATTAATAACAGAGACTTAGCATGGATTTATAAAAGGTATGTCATGTCTAATTAACATGATCATTTTTTTTTATAAGAAGGTAAGTTTAACTCTGGATGTTATTGATGTGATAATTTTGGATTTAGTTAAAGCATTAGATACATAATGTCATAATAGCCTGGAATAGAAGTTGTGTATGCAAGTAAAAAGGGAGACCATTTGTACATGGGAAAAGAAGACAAAAGTGTTTTTATGGAACATGTTCAAAAAGGGCTACAATTGAAGCTGTGTACCACAGGGATTAATGCTATGCCCACGTTATTGGAATCTATTTATGCAGAATTTGGGGCTGAAATAGATACAATATTTTCCGGGGATTTAGAAAGCAGTTGCAAAGGTGGGCAGGAAACCATTATGGGACCTAGGAGTGAAACAACATACTGGTCCAGCAGAGACTCTGCTGCAACATGAACAGTTTCAGGCAGTGACAAGATAGGAAACAATGACACTGGTGCTTCTTATAAATCTCTTGTAAAGCCACATCTAAAATAGGGTGTCCAGTTTTGAGTCCCACATTGTACAAAGGGCATCTGAGTTTCCGAGAAGCCTTGGCGGTTGGTAATTTAGTGGAACTTAAATAATTACAATTACTAACCAATATGCTCTTTATTGCAGAAAAGATATACTATCAGGGTTATTCACTCAGCTGCCAAAGGCAGCCGAGTGAATAACCAAGCCGAAGTGAACTGAGACAAATGGCGTTTGGCTAGTCACTTCGGCCATAAAATCAGCCATACATCGGCTGCCTTCGGTCAGCCGAACATGCCCAGCATGCTCGACTGACCAAAGTGCAGAAGCTGTTTGACTCAGCCGATCCAACATCTGGATCGGCTGAGCCGAACCTCCGGCAGTTCACTTGCTGCCCATCGCCCCTATTCTCATTGGGGCCGAGTGAATAGTGAGTGAACCTCCGAGGTAGCGAGCAAAATAAAAAAATGTAAACAAAAGGAAAAAAATTATAAAAAATAATTTTAATAAATGTAAAAAAAATAAAAATAAAAAAGATGTTAAGAAAAAAATAATAAAAAATTGTTAAGAAAAGAAAAAAAACAACAACATGGGGTCCCCCTCCTAAGCCATACCAGACCCTTTAGGTCTAGTAGGAAAGTGAGGGGGGACCTCAAGTTAAAAAAAATGCGTGAGGTTCCCCCCCAAAGTCATACTAGGCCCTTTAGGTCTGGTAGGAATTTTAAGGAGGAACCCCACCCCCAAAGTAGAGTCCCCCCTAAAATTACCAACCAGACCCTTGATTCGAGTACAGGCCTGGCAGGGCAGGAAAGGGGGGGGGGTGGGGGAGCGAGCGCCCCTCCCCTGCCATACCAGGCCACATGGCCTCGGCACTGGGAGGGTGCTTTTCCAGTTTCCCCCCTGGAAAAGCACCTTGTCCCCACGGAGCATGGGAAAAAGGCCTCTTCCTCACAAGCCCTGGGGTGTTGGTTGTGGAGACCTGCGGGCAGGGGGGCTTATTTGCATCGGGGTACCCCTTTCATAAAGGGGCACCCAGATGCGTCCCCCCCTTGTGAATGAGTAAGGGATACTTGTACCCCTACCCATTCAATAAAGGGGTAAATCAAAATTAAAATAAAGAGCCCACACTTTTGAAAAAATCCTTTAATCCTTTATTTAACATTTTTTTTACTTAAATGACGTAATCCTTGGGTCAGTCCAGCGTTGTCCACGACGACATCAACCACACGTGACAAACTCCCGCCGCAGAATGAAGAATCTGACAGATGGCAGAAAAAGATGAACAATTGGGCAGAGCTAGTGGTGACATCACCGCTAGCTCTGTCCAACTGTTTACATTTGGCCGGCAGAGTCTTCCTGCAAGTCCCGGACAAATGAAAACAACTGGGTGGAGCCGGCCGTGACGTCATGGCCGGCTCCACCCAGTTGTTGTCATTTAATGACAGCCCAGCTTCCCCAGGCCATTTGAGGATGCTGAGCTGTCATTAAATGACATAACAGCTGGCTCCACCCAGATGTTGTCCTTTGTGGGGAAAATGGTCTGCTCCGACCGACCGTTCTCGCCGCTTCGGCTATGGCTCAGCCGAGCCGGAGCATATGTGTTTTGCTCGGCTGATCCGCTCGGCTACCTTTGGCTGCTGTATGGGCTATTGTGAATTGCCCGTACAGCTGCCCTTTGTTTCGGCTGCCCCACAGTATCTGGCTCTCTTGTCTTACTTCCTTCAAAATGTGGGTGGGCCTTCCATGTCAGTGAGGGGGCTGCTGCATCATTGGCAAAGAGGAGTGGAAAACAGGTTGCAGGACCAAGGATTAAGGTAAGTAATGTTGCTCATTAGAGCTCCCCACTCAAAACAAGTGATATATGCAATACATAAGGGGGGGGGGGGGGGTTTTGGGTTT